GGGGGGGGGGACTAGATGATATAAGATATTATGCCTTAGACCGGTCTAGTTGGTTGGTGGAATAAATCAGATTAATTGATCTGGTCGAACGAGGTTCATGAAGACCGGTGATAGATCGTAGTGAAGGTAATTGTGGAAGATTAGGCCGGTCTCAGCTTTGTAGAGGATTTAGTCAACGAGTTAGGTGGTCAATCAAAACAGTCGTGTGATCGACCACCTCACGCACCGGGAGCGACTAGGCAGCTTGTCCAGGTATGGTCAAACATAAAAGCCTTCAAATGAACATTGAGAGAATCTTCACTCGTGTGCTTAGGACACGTGGCAGAACCTGATTGGCCTATATTAATAACCGCTTTTGACACATTCCTGACGCGTGCACCAGAGGTTGTACGATCGGGCAGGCTGGGCAACCAGCTCAGCAAGCTCGGGCAGCTTCTAGAGCATATATCTCGAGGCTGATCGTTTTACACACAATCTTTGATATACTTCATCATCACTCATAATACTTCTTAAGACTGACTTGAGCGTTGGAGTCTCTTCACCGAAAAATCCTTCTTGTGTGAGAGTTTCGTGCAGGTTCTGGCGTTCTACCGGCGAGAATAGCAAGATCTAGACAGTTCTCAGCCGGTCGTAGTGTCGCACTTGTATTAACGGGGATGTCAGTGTACATTATATATTATGTATTTATGTATTTTACACTTTTGGCCTTAGTTACTTAGTTGGTGAGTTATTCTTGTAAACCCTAATCTTTAGTATATATATATATATATATATATATATATATATATATATATACATGACTAGGGTCTCTCTCTCGACATCAAATTAGATGACTGATTTTACCATCGTGTTCTTTTCTTCTACGTTGTCAGTGTATCAACAAACCATAAAAATATTAAGATGTATCAACCGACAACGTGATCTTTAAATATCATACACTCATATCCATCGTGTATGATATGCTAAGAATCAATTTTTGGCATATGCTATGTACTCAAGTCTAAATAAAAGAATGACTTATTTAAATATAAGTATATATTTTATTGAAAAATTATAATAACTCAACTTACAGTAAAATGACTGTTAGCCACACCTAATAGTTAGATAAAATATGATATTTTATATTATAAGTTAATTATGATGATTATTAATAAAAAATATGATTGTATGGATCCAATGTCTATACCACCTCACACCATAATTTTTGTTTCCCTGATTACTAGGTCGTGTACATTAAAACTATTTAAATTTGTGATATTAAAATTTTAAAATATGACATATTTGAGTTTATGCAATTTTGAGTGCGAAACTTTAATTAAGAGGAAAAAACTACATATGCCAAAGTCAAAACCCTTGACTGGATCCACAACAATTTTTAGATATTGAATAAAAAACAATTTTCCTTCGCCTCCAAGGTACGAACATTCTCCATATATTTTTCAATATAATTTTCCTTATATAAAATAGTACTTTACAGTATAATAATAATAAATTAAAAGACGAAAAACGAACGATTTTTACTTGGCCTCCAAGCACATATCACCCCTATATAAAGTCCTCAAAACCACCTTTCAGCACACCCACTCGCCGGAATCTCAACTACTCGCCGTAAAAATTCGTTAAAAACAGTTAAATCAAGCCCTACCGTTCTCTTCTCCTTTCCCCCATGGCGCCACCGGCCTCAATTTCTCTCGTCGGACCACCGGAAATCTACCGGGCAACCGTCGCCCCCTCCGCCACCGCCACCGCCCCCGCTCCCACAACAGCCGCCGCGGAATCATACGTGGATGTCCTGGTAGCGAATTTCAACGGCGTGGCGGTTGACCGAAATCAAAACCCTCCGATGGGTCTAACGGAGAATTTCTCGCCGACCTTCCTCTCGACGGGGAACCCCTGCCTTGATTTCTTCTTCCGCGTCGTCCCCGACACGCCGCCGGAGGCCCTAACCGAGCGCCTGAAGCTCGCGTGGGAGCAGGACCCGCTGAAGGCCCTGAAGCTCGTCTGCAACCTCCGTGGGGTGCGGGGCACCGGAAAATCAGACAGGGAAGGCGGTTACACGGCTGCGCTCTGGCTGCACAAGAACCACCCCAAAACCCTAGCCCGCAACATCGACTCACTGGCAAGTTTCGGCTACTTCAAGGACCTGCTTGAGATTCTCTTCCGGGTTCTCGAAGGACCCGACGCCCGGAAGAAGGCCAAGGAGGCGTACGAGCAGTGGAAGCATAGGAAACAGATGAAGGAGATGAAGAAATTGTATGGCGGCAGCTGGAGAAGGTTCGGCGGTGGATTGAAGAGGAGCAACAAATCGAAGGAGAAAATCGAGCCAATTGAGCCAAACTTGAGCCGAGAGGACAAGAGAATCCTTCGTGCGATAAGGGTTGTCGAGAGGTTTAACAGAGATCCCGACTTCAAATTCCTGCACAACTGCGTGTCGGACTGTTTCGCACGATTCCTGAGGTCGGACATGGAGATGCTGAAGTCGGGGCATCTCAACAAAATCAGCCTGGCCGCGAAATGGTGCCCCTCTATCGACTCCTCCTATGATCGGATCACTCTTCTGTGTGAGACAATCTCGAAAAAGGTTTTCCCAAGAGTCGAGTATCCGGAGTACGAAGGAGTGGAGGAGGCCCACTACGCGTATCGAGTGAGGGACCGTTTAAGGAAGGAAGTGCTCGTCCCTCTTCGTAAAGCCCTGGAGCTTCCAGAGGTTTACATTGGGGCCAACGATTGGGGTTCCCTCCCTTACAACAGGGTTGCCTCGGTTGCCATGAAAACGTACACGAGCTTATTCTTCAAACACGACGAGTCGAGGTTTCAGGAGTATCTGGACAAGGTAGAGAGAGGTGAAGCCAAGATTGCAGCCGGTGCCTTGCTTCCGCACGAGATAATTTCCGGCCTGGATGATGGCGGCCAGGTGGCTGAGCTTCAGTGGAGGAGGATGGTGGATGACATGGCGAAGATTGGGAAGCTGAATAACTGTTTGGCTGTCTGTGATGTGTCGGGGAGTATGTCCGGGATTCCAATGGAGGTATCGGTTGCTCTCGGGCTTTTGGTGTCTGAATTGAGTGAGGAGCCTTGGAAAGGGAAAGTGATTACTTTCAGCGAAAGTCCCGAGCTTCAGATAGTCGTGGGTTCCAGCCTGAAGGAGAAGACTGAGTTTGTGAGGGATATGGATTGGGGCGGGAACACGGACTTCCAGAGGGTGTTCGACTTGCTGCTTCAGGTGGCGGTGGACGGGAAACTGAAGCCGGATCAGATGATCAAGAGAGTGTTTGTTTTCAGTGACATGGAATTTGACGTGGCTTCTGTGAACCCGTGGGAGACTGATTACGAGGCCATTGTGAGGAAGTTTGGTGAGAAGGGCTATGGGGATTGTGTGCCTGAGATTGTGTTTTGGAACCTGAGGGACTCACGGGCCACGCCGGTGCCGGCAAACCAGTCGGGGGTGGCGCTCGTGAGTGGGTTCTCGAAGAATCTGATGAAGTTGTTTTTGGAGGGAGGTGGGGTAATAGATCCTGTGGTGGTCATGGAGGCTGCCATTGCAGGGGAGGAGTATCAGAAGCTTGTGGTGGTAGACTGATTCAATCAATAGATAGGTTGTGCTTTGTAAATGCTCTGGATTGTTTGAAGTTTCTTGGTTAAATGAGCTTTTGTGGCCTTGGTGAGTGATCATCAACAATACAAAAAAAGGCTTTTTGGAAAATGTTTGGAGTTTGTCATTCATACAGTTTTGATGAGTTTCTTGTCTATAATTTCATTGTTATCTTATTTCTACTTTTCTGCTGCTTCTTGATTGGAACCTTACAGAAGTTGGTCTCTGAGTGACACACTAATACAATGTTTTTATGATTTTTAAAGATAATTTATTCCACAAAATCCCAGAAAATGAAGCAGAAAAAACTACAAAATGCTTCTTCCTACTAATTGTGACAGAAAGCTTTACTCATCCCTACCTTAAATTTCAAGTTCAAATGTCCATCTAATGTCTTTCATTACATAGCATGCATGTAGCTAACTAACTAGAAAATGCTACAAAATGCTTCCTACCAAATGTTACAAAGAGCCTTACACAATCCTGAATCCAACATTATCTCCATCTAATTTGTTTTTGCACTACACAGCATGTAGCTAAAACACTTTACTAATAATTTACAATACCCACCAAAGCCCAAAAAACCCACCAAAAAAGAAAGAAAAAACACAAACTACTTCTCTTCCACACCACCAACACTCTCCTGCAAACTCCTCTTCCACTCCCTCACCACCTCTCCATACCCTTCCGCCGATCCCATCGCATACTCTGCCACCGCACTCACCGCCACCGACATCCCCGCACACACCACCCTCATCCCAATCTCCTCCTCCTTGGCAGCCTCTGCGGGCCCCACCACCTCCATTCCCGACGACTCCCTCCTCTCCATATTATTTCCCTTCTCATGCACCAATGACCCCACACCAGCCGCGAAAAAATCCATCCCGTCCAAAACCTGCCCTTCCCGCCCCGCCTCCACCACCCCCCACCACCCCTCGCACCCCTCCAACACCGCCGGTCGGCGGGCCCCGTTTCCGCCGAGGCACCTCACGAGCCAACCCCTCAGGGCCTGCGCGTACGATCGCTGGGCCACGATCCACGAGTCGAAGCACGCCCGCCAGTTCCGGAGCTCCACCTCCAGGCTGGCTGCCGACCGGGCCAGCCTTTGCTGACCGGACGGGGACACGATCGTGTTGTTGTACTCCTTCCATGGGCCCGCGGGCTTCGAGTGTGTCCCGGCGAGAAGGATCTTGGCCTCGTCAAGGGTTCGTTTCTGGAGCTGGTGGCATTCTGCCATGGCCTTCCACATTCGAGCCAGCCTGTCGGGAACACACTTTAGTGGATGGTTTTGGGAAGGAAGTAAAAGAGAAAGAAATTGAAAAAGGCTTGCATGCATAACATATACCCTTGCACCAATTCTAGTAGCTGGGGCTCGAGCTCCTCGTCCCTTAAAGTCTCGATTCGCCTCGAGATAGCTTCGACCGAGTGTATCGAAACTTTTATCTGAGTGTTCAGATCCCTTATGGCAGCCCTCGTTTTATCCACAAAAGAAGGGTCCATCCCTTTCACATCTTGGTTCCTCAGTTGCGCGCATTTCTTCTCGTATGCTATTCGGACACGCTCACCCGCCTTTCAATATTATAAAACACATACAACAAAAGTTGGAATGGAATTGCAAATATAAAAACAATGAAGATATGAATTCTTTCTTTTGGTTTTGAAGGATGTACCCTAACTTCTTGGTAGAGTTTCTTTTCCCAAGCGTATAATCTGTCGAGGGTCGACTGGTGACTCCGTGAAAACAAGGACTCCTCAGAGAAGTCGCTGCTGCTGCTTTCGTAGCTTTCATCTCTTGAAGTTGAAGCACTGACCATAAATCGTGATGATGATGACCGAGACGAACCCGACCTAAATAGTGCCACTGGATTCAGCATCTTCATTGCTGTTGCCCAAACGAAAAAAAGTTGTAAAATAATTTGAACAGACTTTCCTAACTATGAATACAGAACTCATAATAACATTTAATTAAAGAAACACTAGGTATGCAAAAAATAAAAAAATAAAAATAAAAAAAAAATCCGATCATCTTACGTGACAGATCATTCGATGACGACGAGTATTGTGCCCTGCTGGCTTCCAAAATCGACGACATCTCCATGGCTGCATCACAAGCCGCCGTGAACTGATCCTCGAGATCCTTCACAACCTCCATCATGCTTGTCGGCCTTTTATTCACATACACTGTGAATCCAGGTGTCGGTTTTTCTTCTTTCGACTCACAATTCGCAACCACTGTCTCCTTTTTGCTCACCTGGCCCACACTCTTAGCTCTTTCCACTTCTCTTATTTCGTTCTCTTGTGGTGCAACCTCCTGTACACAATCACCACACTCCATTTCATCTTTACCGTCTGTCTTATCATCACTGCTGTCACTAGCATCCTCGACAACAACATGGTTTATATCAAATTTATTTTCTGTACAATTTTCTCTATGATTCGCACAATCATCAATTTCTTCTTCGTGCTCCGTCTCCTCTTCCAAATCGGGTATGCCTTCTTCCTCACGTACTTGCCTTATCCCGTCACTCTCGTCATCCAACATCATCGACTGATCAAGTCCGGTCGTGGTGGGGTAGCCGTAATAATCCAGAGATGAGAAAGGGTTCCAAAAGAACTCCCACTGAGAAGACGAGGCCCGGGGAGAATGCTGCGGAGGAGCAGGAGGATAGTAATTAGGTCCATTATTAGGCGAATATTCGAAAAACGATGAGCCCATCGGGTTCGTCTGCACGCCAAACAGACCCTCCGTCCCGTAATGTGTATAGGACTCGACTCGGTAGGTGTCGGGAGACCGAGGCGGCCTCTCCTCGAACGAGACAGATGAGTTGTTCCCACCTGAACGGAAGTAGTTTATTTTGCAAGAGGTCACCGAGAAAGAGTCGGGCGTTGTTATGGAGATGAAGCCGGGGCCCGTTTTCTTTGGTGGGGTCGTGAACGGGTCAAGAAAGAAGTCACGAGGACTATCACCATTTAAGTACTCACGGAGGGCAACCGAGACACGTCTCATGGCCTGGATGTATGCCATGTGTCCCGAAGCGAATTTGGTCCGGTGCTCCACTGCTTGCCGGATGAACTTTTTCCGATCCTTGCAGAGCCGGACAGCTTCCTCGTCGTCTAATTTCGATGTGGAACATCCCATTTCTCTTTTATTCTTCTACTTCCTTTTTTTTTCCTCTTGGCCCCCTTAAAATGACAATCTTTTAAGAATTTTCTTCAGGCTCGAGTCGAAAGGGAAATCACGGGCGAGCGGAGGCTTTGTTGCCGGCCCCACCAGATTCATAAGGAAAGCCTTTTCTGTATGCAGAAACAGGAGAATGATTATTAGTTATGTGAAGCAGAATCAGAAGAAATGTAAGCAGCAAGTAAAGAAAGAGACAAAGAGAGGCTACTGTTTAATAGCATGAGGAGGAATTAGTAGTATCCAAGGACATAAGGAAAAACAAAAAAAAAAAA